GAATACATTTTTTATTTTTTCTCTTTTCCTTTAAGAAAGAGACCTTGCTCTTGAAAAGTTTAGTGACCTTGCTTCAATGAGGGCATGCTAGAATACAGTTGGTTTGAAAAGATATATATGCATGCATGCAATAGGAGCTGCAGGTCCACTTGGAGTACCCTCTGTGGCCACAAGACCTACCTGGGTCAAACTCCATTGCCAGTCTCCCTAATTTGCTGATCTGCCATGCCTTGTTTTTAATAGTAAAAGTTGATTAAGGGAGGTTGTCAACAGGCTTTAGAATGAGCCTTATTCCTAAGGACTTCTCACTGGGTCTTAATCCAGCCTTCAGGCCTGATAGATCCCTCTTGGCTTAAGTAGGCCCCTGTAAAACACTTAAGGGCAAGTTGTGTAGCCTGTTTTCCTCCCCTATATCACACCCCAGGCCTCACAGGTCTCATCATATCATTGTTCACTTGTTGGGCTCTGACCTCTTCAGCTTCTGCCCTTTTCTTCCCAGAAAGGCCTTCTAGCCCAGGCCCACTGTGTTGGGCCTGGCTGTGGCACTAGCTTTGGTTTGTCCCTCTCTGGCTCCAGCCCTTGTCTGGCCCTGCAGCCTTGTCTGGCTGCAAGAGTAGCTCAAGCCTTGAGCCTGCACGTGAAGGGATCAAGGCAAGCGTCAGCCCTTCAGGTACAAATGGAACCTCTAAGCCACGCCTTGCAGTCCCAACCCAAGCTACCAGCATTAATGGTAACTTAAACCATAAGCCCCTGGACTATAACAGAAAACACAAACAACAGGAGGAGCACCCGGTGCCCCTTTAAAAGGGCACTTTCCTCATTCCTAGCTGGTATACTTTCCAGCCCAGGGCTATACTCTAGCCCAGGGGTGGGCAATTATTTTGGGTGGAGGCCCACTAACTGAGTTTTGGCAAGTTATTGAGGGCCACGTGACAGGCAGCCTAGAGCAGATTAATATTAAGTTTTTTAGGGGCCCTGCAGGCCAAATAGAATGGCTTGGCAGGTTGCATCCGGCCCACAGGCTGCATTTTACCCACCCCTGCTCTAGCCTATAGACTATACAGCCTTGGGCTCTCTGGTCCCACACAGTTTCTCCTCTGGGCTCTCAGGCCCCAGCTCAGCCTTTCCCTGGGCATACAGACCCTCTAGTAGAAACCTCAAACCTTCTAGGGATTAACCTAAAACAAAGGCCACTGGCCTGTAAACCCAGTCTTTCTCTGCCCAGGGAACTTACCTCTGTTCCCAGGCCTGCAGCATTGTTTCACTAAAGCCAGGTCCCTTCAGGAGCCCATCTACCAGGAGCTCCTTACTGCAAGGTAGCCAGGGAGAGGCTCCCTGATTTGGGCAAGCTCTGGATTTATATAGCTCCAGCCTAAGCCCTCTTCTAGTCAGGTGAGTCCCTCATTAGCTCCCCACTGCCACCTGCAAGCAGGCTCACAGGCTTCTTGCTCTCTTCAAGGAGCAGGCACATCCCAGTGCCCTGCTACAATGTACCTGTTTCAAATATGTCTTAAAACATTCAACAGAATCAATGGGCACATATTTATCACCATGCCTATTAAGATTTTTACTTACTGCAAAATGTAGTACTACTAACTTAGTGGTGAGAATATCCATGAGAAGCCACCTGACTGTGGGTATGAGTACAGCTGCACAACTTCCCCCAGGTCGTATGATGCATGGGCCATACACCATACTGTGCCGCATGCTTGTTTTCCAACCTCACTGTATAGTGGACACCCCTCCCTGCTATACCATGCCAGCAGCCCCACTGGCCTCTGATCACTGGACCATGCCATGTGCCTCATGGCTGCTGCTGCTGCCATTGGAATCTTCAGGCTCCTTCTCCCTCTTTTGGTTTCTAATTCCTGCCTCCTTAGACCAGGACTTGTTGGGTAAAAAGACTGAGAAGTGGAGACAGGGATAGACTGGATGAAGGGAATGAGAGTAGGCTGAGGAGCCAAGAGTGGGGAAGAATCAGGACTTGGGTAGATTGGAGGCATTGGGGAAAAATAGTAATTTGTGGAGGGAAATGGGCAGAAGAGCCCACCTTTTGCCATCAGCTACTCAGCTAGCAGAAGTGGCAGAAGTCAACTTGGTGGCTCTTAAGATTCCTTGTGATAGAATTTGTTTTTTTCCCGTTTGTATTAAAAAAAAACTAGGAAATTACATGCACTTATTTACACCAAACCTAATTGCTTTTAAGGAATATTCTTATGTTGGAAAGTCAAACAGTTCCAAGTTAGGAAGTGCCAGAATTAAGGATGCCTGCATAATCTTAATTCACCCTCTTGTGCATTCGTTGCAATACAGTCTTTAATGACACCATCTCATTATCCCTGTCTGCTTCAGTGTACAAGATGAAATGCTCTGAGTGAATCAGGATTATGTATTAAAGGAGACTTTTCTGCACCAACCCTGGCTTATCTGGTGCAGAAAATGAAAAGTAGGAAGTGAATGGATCAAGGGGGCGTGAGAAGAGAGATGTTTGGGTAGTTCAGCACTGCCCTGGAAGATTGGATTCTGTGCTTGCCTCTGCCACAGAGTTCCTCCTGTGTCATTCTACTCAGGTTGTTTGTATTAAGCTTTTCACACATAGTCACTGATTGTAGGTCTTACATTTTTTGGGTCCCTGACAAGAGGCACTAAACACTCACAGCTGCAACTGGGGGCTGTGCTTTAAGCATTCAGAGTGCTATACTGTGGTAGGTTGGCTGAAAAATCAGGTCTACATATTTCAGATTAGGCACCCAAAATTAGTGAGCATTTTTTACATTAATCTCTCTGTATCACAGCTTCCTTTGCACAGTATGAGGCAGGAGTCCTGTGGAAATAATAGTACATAATCACATAATTGAAGTCTGTTTCATAATGCATATATGCAAAGTGGTCAAATTCAAGATTGTACATTCATTCTGGCATTTCCTACCTTCTGAGTGCATACTTTTGCAACATTATTAATGTTCTTTTAATGTCCTTTGGTAAATATACCAAAAATCCCAAATCATAATTTTAAAGTATTTTAGAGTAATACAGTAGAACATTATGCCAATAATAATTCCAGTAACCCTCTAATAAATACTGATTTTAAGAGAATGTAAAAAAAGATTTAACATACAAGTGGGGGAAGCTCTGCTTACCAGTAGTTGAGCAATCTGCTGCTTTTCAGCTGCAGGGAACAGCACTAGGTAGATCTAGTGGATCACTTTGGCTCTTTTACTTTTTGACTTTACAGAATGTACCATGTTTCTGAGGCGGGTGCAGTTTGCACAAGGGAATGGAAGGTGGCACTGTTGTCTCTTAAATTTCCTTTTGACAGCAGGAGAAATGAAAAGAAGGGTCTTGGCTGTTAGTATAAGCATTAGTATATGCATGTACATGCAGGCCTGTTTGCTGTTGTATGTTTGGCTTGAGGTTCCAACACTTGAAAAAGCTCCAGGGGCATTTGTGCATGGATGCCAGGGCCTAAGCCTCTGTGAGCCCCATCTTCCCATCCTTAAGGAAAAAAAGAAGGGATGGGGACCTCATGGAAACAACAGGGGTGTAGGGCGAGGCACAGTAATATTAGTGTAATGCAGATTAGGAGCTAACAGAGCCTGTTTGATTGAGGAAGAGAGGCATTGCTCTCTTGCAAATTGCTGCCTTGGATTTGGCACTGAAAAGGGCCTGGGGCTCTTCTGACTCAGCTAGGCCAGATGCAGGTGCTCATTTGTATGGGTTGAGGGAGTTGCTAAGGGCAGATCATTTCTCTGTACGTGAAAATTGATGGGTAAGAGATGGTGACGCATGGGTAATAAGAGAAACTGTAGAAAAGGTTTGTTCAAACTGAGGTGCATCCATTGCTTTGTGTGTGCATGTGCACGCACAAGTGTGCTGAATCTCTGATTAGCAGAGGAGGGGCTTTGTGCTTTGCCCTCATACTTTATCTGCCAAAGAAAAACCAGTGTGCACTTTGAGCAATCTTTTTCCTCAGTATGTGTTGTTCTGGCACATTAAGCGGTCCACATGCCTTCTCTTTCCTTTCTGCTTGATTTTTGTTTCTGGTTGTTGCATAGGCCACCAGTTTTCTCACTCAGGGTTAGTTCTTCAGCCCAGAACTGGCTTTTTTCATCCAGCTAGGCTTATAGTAATACAAAGTTTGATTGGTAGGTGTGGCTGGTGCCACCACAGAAGAATGCCTTGCCTTTCCCCACCCCAACTCTCCTGTCTTTTCATCTTGGTCTGGCAGCAGTATCTGGTATGGGCAGAGCAGAGGGAAAGGCTAGGTCAGATGCTGTTTGACTGGTGCTTCTTAGCCATTCACTCCATCTCCGCCTTTTTGGCTCTGCTCCCTTTCTGCCTCTTTTCAGATACCAGACATATATCTCTAGAGTACAGTTGCTACAAGAGATGACACTTGTCTTTGTAAAGTCTTTAGTCTATGGTAGAGAAGCAAAAGAGCAGGTTTGAAAGATGTTGGGAGCATGGGCATCCATGGAGAGGGGGCTTTCCTGTTGTCTGCTTTATATTAGCCTTCAGTCCCTGAAAAGGCTTCAGATTTCTCCTTGTGTGAAAACTGAAGGTAGTGATTCTCAACTAGGGTGCCTTAACAGTCTTTCAAGAATGCCATGCAATGTTAGGTGTGCAAACATGATTCACAAGATAAAGCCAGTGATGTGAAATAGGAATTATGAGCATTACAGCCATTCTGAGTCTTTCTGAGTTCTTTCAACAGAAAAAAAGTGCTCTGTTTGTTTTTTTTTATAGCAAAAAAATGGGTGAAAGCAAAAGGCTGGAATTTCCTGAGGTGTGCCTCGGGTTTTACCAGAGTGGCATGAGAGCCATTGACTTAAGGGCTAAGAACACAGACCTCAACTTCCCACCTCAGAGCAAGGAGGGACAGAGAGGAATGGAAAGAGAGAGCTTAAGGCCAGCTATCTTAGGCAGCCTGTAGAAATAGAGGGGCCAGGGTCAGGCAGGCTTAAATGCAGATTAGCATAAAGCAAAGCATTGTGGGGTCGGGAAGAGAGAAGTGTTGGGTACAAGTGTATATATAAGAGATGGCACTGACAAGCATGAACATATTTTTTTGGTTTCCCTAGTATAGTTTGAATTCCTGGTTTATATATGTTAGGAGCTCCTGAGAGCAGAAAAATATCTATCACATATAAACAGTATTGTGAAAGGGGGTTGTGAATGTGGGCTACAAGTAGATTTTGTTTTTAAACCTGTTGCTGATGGAGCCATGATCAGACACAGGTTCGTAGTGTTTCTAGCTTTTTTTTCAGTTTGTTTTAAGTAGTCTTTCTTTCCATATTTATAATTTTGTTACTAACTTATTCTTTTGTCTTAGGGATTTGTGATTAGTGTTAGTTTTTGTGTAGGTGGTTTTATTATTTATTTCATAAGTTGTTAGCTGGTTTTGTTAATTATTCTGGATAGTGTTGGAATTATTCTGGGTAAAGTTGCAAGGTAGAATAAAAGTACCTGTTGAATTGAATGTTTAAAATAGCTTGCTTTGTTGTCTACTTTGTTTATTAAAGTTGTAAATGACTTTCTTGTGTAGCATGTTTCTTTGTCTTTCTAGGAGGAAAAAGTCCAACATAATAGAGCACTTCAAAATTGGATGTGGTTCCTTTCTGTAACTTTCTTAACATTTCTAATTATTTAAAATGAATGATTTGGTAACTATATAACTCTCCTAGTATATTTTATTATGGTAGTTTCGTACAGCAATATTATCTAGTGTATTAGAGTAAGGACTCCATTTTTCTTTCCCTCCCTCATATGTTCTCTAATTTGCACTTGTTGTCTTTGGGAATGTGTGGTGCTATGGGGATGAAACTGGAAGTGTGTTGGAAGCTGTTCTAATTGTGAAAATGCTTAAGATCCAGAGTAGAGGATGTATCCAGGCTTCTGCCATGAGGGAAAACAAAAGGCACATAAAGCCAGGGACTTCAGAAGAATGAAAGGTTAAAAAGAGAATAATGAGAGAGAGCTAATACCAAAAAGATGAAGGAGTGGTCAGTGTGGGAAATATTTCTAAATGGCAATAGAGGCATTGGAAGGGGCCCAAGGACCATCTTTTCTTTAGAAGTAAATTTTCTTTTCCTTTAGGTTCTCTCTCTTTCTTTTTTTTTTTTCTTGTTTTTCTTTTTCAAGTTTTCTTGCAAGTTAAAAAAAGCAAACATAAGAGGTGCTGGGTAGGTATCACTGGATACCTGAACTCTTCTGTTTACATAGCAGGTATTGCTACACACTTCAGCAGCCAGGCTCAGATTTGACTTGCAGGACAACTGTTATTTGGAAGACAGATTGCTGGCTGTTTGATACCCACAGACTAATTGAGGAAGAGTGCAAATAATTCCTTGTATTTAAGTGCAAGTTTTTTACTCTCTCTTTCAGGGAGGAGACATTGGTTATTTCCCTAGATGGCTCAATATCCTTAGAACTACTGGAGAATTATTTAAAAATAGTAAATATAGTATAATAAGGGGTGGACAAGCAGAAGTCTGCTAAAATCAGAAGTGATTCTCAAACGAAGTATGTTCAGTCATATGGATTGCCTACATAGAAGAGGAATTGTATGTCTGTGTACAGAATTATTCTGAAGCATTAAAAAGGTGTTCTAATTTTGGTTATCGGCAGGGATCTTGGTTTTCTCTCTTTAAAAGTCTCAAATTCTCTCTTTTTAAACAACAAATCCATTTTTCTACAATTAAAATGAAACGCCGCTATGAAATGCATCTTAAAATGAAATGCACGTGGTGCCCCCTGCTTAATTACCCTCTTTCTGTAGCCCCAAGTAACCACTTTTTCAGGCTGCAACTCTGACAGCCTGCAAGGGGAAACGCACCGTTTCCCACACTTTTCTCCTCCTAAAGGAAAAAATCTGTGATTTTTCCACAGTAAACAGAAGACCCAGATCCCTGGTTATCAGCACCATATACAACATGGAAAGAAACAACAGAGCATGCTGCTTTATCCTACTAAGTATGAGGAACAAACCCCTGCACCAAAGACCTTATACTGTCATACTCTAATTTTTGATGGAGTCTTACTTCATGAATGGACTACTGATTTCAGGCATTTCTGACTGTAGGATTTGGGGTCTGAAGATGCAGAATCTTTACAGCTGAGAGCCAGGGTGAGATAAGAAGTTATGCAGAGTAGAGTGGTTTTCATGAATGATCTCAAGGGAGAGAGGCCTCTCAAACCATTAAGGGGTATAACTACCTCCTCTTCCCCTTTGTTTTAACCTCACCTATTTACTGGCAAAAGTGTCTTCAAATCCAAGCAAGACTAACTCTAAGATATTTATTGTTAATTGATGAAATTTCCACCCTAATTTTTAAACACGTTCCCAATAGATCTTTCAGTTGTCCCAAAATATGCAATCATTTTAACAGATTTCTTATGTATCACTGAAATTTAGCAAATTCTAGTGTTTTGACGATATAAAATTGTGTAAAATTCCAGCATATTTCTCCTACTCAAGAAGCATAGTCAAATTTGAACTATATTGTGTCCTTGGGGAGGAGGTGAGGGTGTTTATCTGTAAACGTGGCTTCTATATTCATACTTCTTTATTCTTCATGTATACTTATACATGGCACTATACCTTTTGATGCCTATTATGTATAGTTTAGACAGTCCCATCCAGAAAATATATTGGACATCATTATAATTACTGAGATGATTATTGCCCAAGACAAAAGTGATGTTTGTTTGAAATGACAAGGTAAAACCCTACAGTATGTAGATAGATATAGATCTATTTATATCACTTCAGACAAACATCACTTTATATACATATATAAATTTCCTAGAAAGTTTGGGAAATGCAATTATTTGTTCATTGGTATATACTTGCTTCCAATAAAGTTTATGTCAATTAAAAATGCTGGTCAGAAAATGCATATAGCTTAGTAACTGAGCCCTCCTGAACAATGGTACTGAAACTTTTATTTTAACAAAGAAACTTCATAGTTTTACAAGGCCTAATATTTGGAAATAAGTAAGATGAAAAATACTGCAGTGTATGCAAGTTGCTTTTAATACTGATTGGATTAATTCTAAATGCTGAATTGGTGAGAGTAGCTAGGCTATATAGTATGAAAGCTATACACACACAAGTGCTATAGGAAATGCGATGACCTCTCCTGTGCCCACTGAGCTGTGGCCTGCGGGTTCTGTGTCGACTGCAGTTCTGTGATGTACACAAGGTGAACATCCCCTGTGTGGGCTCTCAGCAACCAACCCTTGCTTACCATGTAATGCAAAATCCACAAGTTCTCATGCAGCGTTTGCCTCTGAACAAAGAATATTGCTGGTTGGATTAATTTTTAAAAACTGGAGTATAATAGCGCTATTGCCCTGGACATAGTGAATCCATTAAATTGTGTGTGGCTCTCCCATGTCTCTCTGAGTGCTTGGTTAATGCTCTTGTTATTGCTATATTCATCTGTAAACCACATGCACCTCTGCCCCAAAATCTGCCCTCCAGAATTAGGGTGTGTGCCTTAAATGGGGAAGCTGATTTTTCTTTGCTGGGAGAGAACAGAAATATACAGACACTGCTGTCATGGGTGCCAAGATGGCTGCCACTTCTCTCTGGGCCCAGCAAGCAGAGGGCCTGGAGTCGTTTGTCCCTCTCACAGCTGAGGTAGCTGTTGGCTGAGCACCATAGCGTGCATCTGGAGTAATCATTGAGTTAGCTCAGGGCAAGTGAGCTCTGCATGCAGTCTGTCATCAGAATCTTGAGGCTTTTGGTTTGGAAACAACACCTTATTCTTTACTGTAAAGAAATAGCAGTCTTGCTGCTGCCCTTGCAAGGGTCTGGGCATAGCCTTGTTGCTGCCCTGCCATGCCAGGACATTTCTGCTGCCCCCTCCAGACTACTGCCTGGGATGCCACACTTCCTGGGCACTCTGTTCCCTGGAGACCTGACTTGGTGTCACACAGCCACAATGCTGTCAAAATCTTTTTTTCCCCTATGGTCTGACATCCAAAAACAAGGTACGTGCCTTGGGGATAGGGGAATGTGGTACACAAGGGAATAGAGTAGTTCTCCTACTTTGTACTTTGTACTCAAGTCTTTCCCCGTTCTGCCATTTTTATTCCTTTTGGTTTCATGGGGCCTCTTCAGAGTGCTGTCCCAAGAAAAGAAGTTTCTCACAGATCTGCAGAATGGTTGAGCATGGTGTTGGCAGGGTTTTCATCCTGTAGGATTTACAGCCCCATGGGCAGTGCTTAGCCCAACCTGCTCGGGGTCTCTGGAACAGCATGTGCAGCCAGATACATTTCTAGGCCTAGTTTTCAAATTGAGTGCAGATATAGGGAACACACAAATCGCTCCCTTGTTTTAGGCAGATTGCCACTTTTCCCAAGGAGAAATCACCACTCATGCTCCAGGTAGAAAGGTGACATCATGATGTCTACCCATATAAGCTCATGGATTGAGTTAACATCTTCGGAGAGATTCCCCCCAACTGACAGACCAATGAGCAGAAGATCTTGTTAACCAAATCCATGTGTTAAGCAAGGCAGTGAATGCTCTGATGCTTTAAAATGCCCTCGTATCCTGCTGCTTTTCAGTTGTCCTCTCTGATCGCTGTTGTTCTCAAGCAGCGTGTCTGACTGGAGTGGGAGGGAAGGGAACCCAAATGCAGCTGCAAGAAACGAGACAGAAGCAGCAGGAAGGAGCTTCCTGTGGTTCAAAACATCTGTAGTAGAGTAATGCTTTCATTTCATTTTTTCCTTATCTGCTATAATAGCTTTTAAATCACACCTAGCTGGACTTTTCTAGTCTATGAATTGCATAGTTAATCCAGATTCTTTCCATCTGCTTTTACATTCATCAGAAAGCATTCATTTCTGTTTTGTGCTATTGACCATGAGGAGAATTGCAGAAGTGAGCATTCAGGGTTTGGGGAACAAGCTTCATCTCTTTTAAGTACAGGCATACCTCGTTTTATTGTGCTTTGCTTTATTGCACTTCGCAGATATTGCGTTTTTTACAAATTGAAGGTTTGTGGCAACCTTCATTGTTGTCTTATTTTAAGAAATTGCCACAGCCACCCCAACCTTCAGCAACCACCACCCTGATCAGTTAGCAGCCATCAACATCGAGGCAAGACCCTCCACCAGCAAAAAGACTACGACTCACTGAAAATTGTACAGCCCCCATGAGATGTTCCTGTCACCAGGGGCTGCTGCCAGGGGAGTCGGTAATGACTCTTGCACATCTCTAGGACTGAACTTGAAAGGCTGTTGTTTGAACCTGTGGTTTTCCCAACTACTCTTACTACTTCCACAATATTCTTCCTGACTATTTTTTTGCTGCTGGTGAATAAAGACTCCTAATTTAGCTTTATTTGTAATTTGCAGTGCTCTGGTTTATACTTGCCTCCTTGTCGCCCCCTCCACCCTCCGGAAAAAAAACCAAACTGGAAAATTAACAAACAGTTCCAGGAAATGTGCTTATCCACTTCACATCTATCTTTGCGTAAATACAGCGCTGGATACGCAGCCTTGTATCTATCCTGTCTCCAAACATCTTTTGTCCACATGGTAGACAAAGAAGGAGAAACATTATCATTCCAAAGGATGTTTGTTTCCATATGGCTGCTTTGGGGACAGGCCATGATCTGAACCTTAGGAATTTTTGTTCCAGTCATACTCCAAGTCCTTGCCTTTCAAGGAGGAAACTGTGAGGTAGCAGAACATTAAAACAAATTTTCTTTTTAAATTTAAATATATTGTATCAAATTCTTCTCTTTACCCCAGTATAATGGAACACAGCTGGTTTGTCGATTCTACTATATACAGTATTAGTCAAAATTCTGTTGATGATTTGCCACAATATAAGTAATACAAGTAATACAGCAAAAAAAATTGGCCTGCTGGCTGCTTTTCTGTTTTTGTGTTGTTTTTAATGTGATTTATAAAGAGAGAGAAACGTTGGCTTCTGTCAACTGTGCAGTGTGAGACACTGACATGGTACAGATGCTGCATGTTGGATAGCTGTTTAACAGAATAATGTAAAACTGTTTTCTGAATTTTACCTGATAATGCTGCCTAAAGGTTTTTGGTGTTTTGCTTTTCACCCTCTTCAGACCATTCCATGTGGAGCCTACAAACATTGTTAGTGTGAATGATGACACACAAAGAGTTACAGACGAAGCATCAGCAATGAATAAGCGGATTCATTACTATGGCAGGCTTACTTCTCCATCAGACAGGGCATTGGTAAGAAAAGGCCAGAGATACTAATTAACAGGGGTATAATGTAGCGTGATGGGGTTACTACGGGTGCCTGACCTGCACATTTCTGCATTAGAATAAAAGAAAAAACATTAGTTAAAAGTGAAAATTGCTTTTAAATAAGAAATGAATGGCTAAGCACATCCAAATTCATGTAAAACCACAATCACAATTGTCTTGTTTTTATATGTTTTTAGCATGTATGAGACGTAAACAATGCTGAACCTGTCTTAAAATTTGGCCACAAGAACTCTCATAAATGCTGATTTATTAAGCTTTAATGTAAAAATTTGTTCATTTTGTTTATAGTAAGTTGGCTTGCATGAGAGAGGAAGCTGTGATCTTACTAAGGCCCCAGGCAGATGTTACAGTTAAGACACGATTAAGCAGTTAATCGCATCCTAAAGTGTAACCCAGCCATGTGTTCAGGAAATTAATGACTTGACAAAACATGAATCAAGCCACAAAATGATGGAAAAAATGTGTACTAATTTTGTGTCTGATTTGCATTGTGCCTTGAAACAAATGTGTGGCAGGGTGGACCGCACTGGCATCTCCAGCTGAACCTGGTGTATTCCCTGCCAGCCAACAGTCTGCTGATCATTGGCAGGATTGGGACCACACAGTGGCTGCCCAGTGTGGCCCTCATCCTGCCAGCCATGAGTTGGTTGGGCAGGGAATATACTGTCGCAGGTTCAAGCCCCAATGCAATCTTGATCCAGCCGGCTCCAGGGCTCACAGTGGGACTCAAACTGGCCCTGTTGAGTCCCTGAAGCCAACTGACAATTAGCTGCTTGTTCAGAACTGTTGCCAGTGCAGGAGAAGTCTGAGATCATGATGCTGCTCAGTGTTGCAATGCAGCTTCCCTTGCACCACCAAGTATCATATAAGTGGGATCTGATCCCAAAATTGCATGTCTTACCGTGCAAGTGCATCATGGCGGGAGGCACAGTTGTTGGGATCACAGGTTAGATCCCATCCCATCTTTAAATAAATATCTGTCAGGAACCAAATACTACTACTTTTGTTATCTGTTTGTTAGATTGCTCCTGATCACGTTCTTCCAGCTCCAGATGAAATCTATGTGTACAGCCCATTAGGAACTGCTTTCAAAGTGGATGGGTGCACAGAAAGCTATGGTAAAAACTCCAGCATAGTAACAATGTACGTTAAGCACTTTTGTTTATTGTGGCTAAAAATTACAATTATTTTAACTTAACAGCTTTTACTATAATATATCTGAAAGGGTAGCATATAAAAAAAAAGATGTGGTTTGTTTGTTTTGTTTTTTTTCTTGCAGATTTATGATCTGGAATACAATGATGGGTACATCTATACTAAGTATCCCATGGGGAATAAAACAGGTAAGGTGGAGGAAATAATATTGGCTTTTGCAGCATGTAATTTATTGTTCATTTGTTTCAACAGTATACCTGGTTAACATATAAAATTAAATATATTTCTTGTTTTAAACAGGCAGGATTTACCAATGGAATTATTTTGATATTACTAATGGGACTTTTGACACTTTACTGCTGTTACAGAGTTTTGAAATCACGGACTATGATAGAAAGTAAGAATCTGTTGCACTATAGTACACACAAGGGTCTGTCTCAAGTGAAATCCCTGAGATCTTGGAGGTTTGTATTACTTGAAGTAATACAAAGCGGTCCAGCTTCTAAATGGCTGAGGGCTGAATGCCCTGCAGGCTTTACCATGAGAGGTTGCTTGCTTGTGGGCTGGGGTGGAGGCAGGCAGTGAAAGCTAGAGGAGTGAGAGGAACCTGGAGTCTTTGGCTGCTGTTATAGCTGGAATGATGGGAAGGAGCCATGGCTGGGGAGGAGCTCAGGGGTTTAACCAGTTGGATAGCCCTGCTGTAATAAAACTCCAGTTGTGAAACAGAATACTGCTGCTTTGCAAGTGTTGTACTTTTAAGTTGTTGATGGTCATCTAGCACTTAAAAGTGGGTTTGAATCTATGAGAGAGGTCTGGGTAAACAGCATGATCTCTCCTGATCAAAGTATTCTAATATTTAACCACCTGCTTATTTTATTTCTTCATACATTTGTATTTTTATGTTTATGTAGCTTCAAAAGATACTTCAAACTGGGAATTCCCAGATGTTTGCAAGCACTATTTTGGATCCTTTGGTCAATGGTCCAGTCTCTTTTTTTCAATGGTATCACTTGTTGGAGCCATGGTTGTTTATTGGGTACTTATGTCCAACTTCCTGTTCAACACAGGAAAATTTATATACAGTAAGTAAAAGTGTTTGGCTTAAATTAGATATTTAACCTTTAAACAGTGGGGTTCTGACCTGCATCTTCATGTTCTGTCTTTTATTCCACAAGAATTGGCGAGCAGAGGGTAATTATGCATGCACACAGCAAGTGATTAGAACTGATAGCCAACATCTGGCTGTTCTCTAGCATCAAACTGAAAAACCAGGGTTTAGTAAATACATATTTTGATGTGTTGCTTTCAATGTCTGTGTTCACAGCACTTTCCAAAACTCTCATCACAGTAAGAGAATGTCCTGATCCTAGCATCTGACAAAATGCTAAACATGGTTAAACTCAAGTTTTCTACCCTGGACACCTTACCCTATTGATTAATGACTAATGGAATTTACAGATGACCTAATTCAGTTTTTGTCCTAGCTAATTATTGTTATTGTTATTGGAAGCAGATTTCATAGTGTTTGAACAAGTCCCTTTTCCAGAAATAAGGACATAAACAAAGCTCTGCTGCTTTCCTCCTCTTCCTTTTCTCTCTGTAAGCTTGATATGTTTTGTCATTGTCAGTCAGCTAAAAACGACCTTATGAAAATAGAATTGGTAATACTAGTTCTGTGGTAACTTTAATGACTAGAGCGTTTTTCTGACTTTGACTATTAAGTGGTCAAAATTAATCCACTCAAGGTTCTCACAGGATATTGTGTATGGTTTCAATGCACTGAAGAATACTATTAAACTGAGAAGTTTTATTTAAATATATTCACATTAAACAAAATGGTTATCCAGTGGAGGATATCTTAGAAGATAACATTATATACAAACTGTTTTAAACAAGAATTCTTCAGATACGGATATTAAGTGAAATACAGTTTTCCTTCTCTTGTGTAGGTGTGCCTGTTATTTTTTTTTGAGTATCTAAAAGTGACATTTGATAGTTCTAAAGTACTTTATGCACTTCTAAAGAAATCTCATTTGGGAATCAATTTATAACTTCCATTAAAGCGTCTAGTTATTCTCTAAGTGCACTTCTGGTTTTGAATATTTTCCAGTAAGAAGCATTTTTTATTTTATTTTTTTTGAAAAATCACAAAACAAGGGTGATCTTGGGCACATCTGCTTGCTCTACCCGTTGGACTACTTCAATTTTAGCAGCTGGAAGGCTTTGATGGACTTATTTACTTAGCTAGCCTTTTAAATTTAGTATTTACAGTAGGCAAAATGTTTTAAGTCAATCAATATTTAAGTTTAAAAAGTTTTAAGTTATGTAGCTGGCTTAAAAAAACAAGACTTCGATGGAATTATTATTTATCTAATAAAAATATTCCAAGAGTTAGTCTGACTTGTTTTTTTAAGCCAGCTACATAACTTAAAACGTTTTGCCTACTGTAAATACTACATTTAAAAGGCTAGCTAAGTACAAGCACATGCAGCAACAATTTCTCATCTGTTTTACTTCTATAATCTGATAGTATAAAGTGATTGTTAGACTCATTGGGATATTTCAGGTTAGTTCTGTGTTTCCCTAAGTTTTGAACCAGTGGGCCATGCTAACTTTCAAAATGTCTCAGACCACCATGAAAAGATCCTCAAACCGAAATGAAAAGGGGGAAGATGGACAGTGTGATCTGTAGACCACTTACTGTGGCCACAACACTGCCCATGGACCACTGTTTGGGCACAACTAGTATACATCAGCAACTAGTCAGCCATGATTTTGAAAAAGGACTAGTCTCTTTTAAACTGACAGTATTCAAAAAGAGCTGAAAGAAACTGACTCTTTAAAATAGCAGCATAAAACAGTTGTCCAAAAGGAGGCTCTCTTCCCATTTCCAGTGAAATGCAGAATGTTTCCAAACACTTTCCATAAAACTGTCAGTGTTTCTTATCTTGCAAGCTATTGACAGAAAAAAGATCTTTTTCACACGTGTGAACAAACACCAAAAAAGGTGCTATTAAAAGGCAGTTTTAGATTAAATCAAGCTTCATGTGAAATGAGTAGGTTTTCTAAGATGGGAAGCTGAGAATATTCACTTGGAAGATGATGCAAAATACTCTTTTGTCTCTCTGCTTTTATTTCCATAGATGTGGTACTTCTTTAATGTGTAGAAATAAGATACAAATTAATAGCATGCATAATAAGAGTATTTTCTTAATTTCAGATTATGTTAATGACATTAATGTCACAGATATCATGTCTGGCACTAATGGAAGTACTAGAGGTAAGAAAAATCGCATTAGTACTGTGACTGTGCATTAAAGTACATCATGTTTTTGTGGCCCAAATTTTACTCAATTTCAGTCATTTTAAAATAAGGCCTTTTAAATTCTGTCTAGTTTAAAATCACCATTTCATTTTTGGATTCTCTTTTTTTAACAAATAACTACAGTGGCCAATGTTGAAACGATGACTAGTCATTTTGAGTTCCCAACTCAGTACTTCATTTATTGAGTATCTGCTGTAAGAATCTCTAGTTCTTCAGTGGGGTCTTAGGGCAAGCATCTGAAAAATGAGGGCACCAAATCACTAATAGCTTTTAAAAATCTTGCCTGAAACATTCATGCTCTCTTTGCTAACTGCTACAGTATCCCTTTTGTGGAAAATGCTTTATCCAGAGCTTTAATAATATTGCCAGAAGGCAGGGCAAAGTGGTACCATATAGTTTAACTTGTTCAGAGAGGCATGAGCTTTCATGGGCAACAACTTCATCAGGTCCTGTGAATGGACTTGCAGGGAGCTAGGGTACTAAATAGAAAGAAATTAAGTCATTTAAATACACCGGAAAGGAAAAGGGGAAGGAGAGGATTGAGAGAGGGGCATTGCTGAGAGAGATGAAGGTGGGTTGAAGGGGCCAAAGGGGATAAACAAAGGGATTAACCCACTGAGGTACAAAAGGGTTATAAAAGCTAGTACAGGTAATGGGATAATAGTGTGGAGACTGTTGCGACAGTTTGTGAATGAGTTCTTACTCTTCATTTTCATGTTTAATAATACTGTTTGATGCTACCTTACAGAAAAAGATGAAAATGGTCAAGTAACATACTGTGAAACTGTAAAACTAATTTTGTGGAAAAGGCCAAATCCCACTTATGATTTCTTGGCTTGGGTATAAGCTTCTGTATGTATTAGTCTGTCTCTATCAGAATTCCTATTCATGGGGATGGGAGGCAGGCTTAAAGACAAGGGGTTGGCTGTGGCCTTTAGGTAGTAACTGAACTTTAGACAGGTGTTTAAAAAAAACCCTGCACTTTACCAAAAGCATCAGCATGTTACTTTGACCTGGCTCTGCAGAGTCTGTATATATTGGGCAGTTCAGCAGGGTTCCATGGTGCTTTTATCTAATAGCTGATTGAATCACCTATTAGATAAGTGCCACAGAAGCCCCACTAAAGTGCCCAATTTTATACAGATGTTGAGAAAACCCGGTCCAACTAACATGCTGCCTCTTCTAGGTATGACTGGGCTTGATGCGGGAGCATGCTGAGTTTGAAGTGAAGTGCTGTTGTGGTTTTTGTTTGTTTGTTTGTTTTAACATATGCAAGCAGTCATAATGTTTTGGTAGGAACAGAAGACAGCCTCTGTCTCTTATGAAACTAAGACAGAAAAATGTCCCATGTTGAAATTGATACCTCTGCTTCAGGGTATCTGTTATGACATCATCAGGGCTGTCCATAGTGGTGGGCGAGTGGGGCGACTACATCGGGCTTTGGGGGGCCCTGCTGCAGCTGCCATGCACTGCTGACTCCGTGGTCCAGCTGCTTACCGCCACCCCTGCTCCCCACCCCTGCACAGGCTGATATGCCCTGGGCCCCGCACACCCCTATGGATGGCTCTGGACATCATCACTACCATTGTAATATGATTGAGGCTTCTCCAGCCAGCGAGGTAAAGTTATGGCTGAAGGTGAGATTGGGAACATTTTCCTCTGCAGTAATATTCTTTTAGTTTTTCTGTTTGCGTGTATGCTTCCTGCTCTTCTAAAGGGCCTTAATGGAATGGGTGAAGAGAGCAGTGGTAAGATGTATTTCCCACCCCCCAAAATCTGCTAGCACATGACCTGCTGAAGAAGCTCTAACATTGATACGTTGGCAAACGTGAGGGAACTAGAGCCTGAAGTAACACTGCCCAGGTTGAGAAACATTCCATGATAGCAGCCAAACCCATACTAATTTTGAAAGGTTTTTCTATTTTCTGAAAATATTTTGAGTAATCCCAATTTAAAAAGCCACATTAAATGCAGCTTACTTCCACATGAGGGAAAATCCTCATAACTGCCAAGGTCTGCCTAGCTACATATGCAGCCTATTAAGTATATTATTTAATAAGCTTGTTTATATATAATTTCCTGTAATTGTAAGTTTCAGTTTTTATGGTCAATACATATTCCTACATGAAGTGGCAGAAGAGAGGAGCTGCATACGTTTGGCAGAGATCAAAGGCAATGGGTGCATTTGGGTGCTAAGATAGGAGAGGGATTAATGGAGGGTTTCTGTTGTAGCAAGGGGCAGTTTACAAGGACAGGTTTTGGATGTTGTGTGGCTACCAGGATGTAAGGTATGCCGAGGAAAGTGAATGAGTGCTTTGTGTGCGGGAAGCTGGGGCAGTGGTATGTCCCTGTAGAGCGGCCGTTTCTGGATCTTGCTGGCAGTCAGGGTCAGATAGAGAGGTAAGGAGTCATTCTGAGAACTAGAGAGAAATGGGGGCTGGCCTTGAGCCCCTGCCTTCTCCTCTCTTGTCCTGCCAAGTTGCACACTGCTACTGTTGGTGCTGCAACCTGTATTGTCCCTGTCCTGTTATCTTGCCCTGAAAAAGATGTAAACTGCTGCTGCCTGGTCCCCATCTGATCCACAAGGGAGGACCAGCCAGAGGAAGCAGACACTGCATTAGGCTGCCTGGATCCAGGCCCTGTAGCAGCCTCTAGGTTGAAGGCATGACTGCAGCTGCTGCAGGAGGGCATGGCAGGGCTGCTAGATGCTTGACTGTCACTTAAGAGCTCTTCCTGCTCTTTTGCCAAAGAGAAGAGGACCACATCAGTAGAGACAAAAGCATTTTCCAGTATTGTGTGAAACAACTCTCCTAAACAATACAGAGGTGGGGCGAAATAGAAAACAGTAATTTCAAAGTGACTTGATGGTGTCCCTTTTAACTTTCAGATTTATGACCAAATGCTATCTAGAGCTTTAAGTTTCAGTTATTGTAACCAGGTAGGAATGCAACCAGCAGGGGAGAATTTGAAGCATTGTGAAGTACAAAGGTTTATAAATGGAAATTGGAGACAACAATAGGAGAATTTCACGTTTCTGCACAACCCAGGAATTGCTGTTTATATTTACAGACAAGAATAACTAAGTCCAGTCAATATATAAAATATTTTAACCATTTAAAAGGCTGCTTTTCTGGTTGTCAGATCATGACTTGAGCTTATCTTCCATAGCACTTGTACTGGTTTTCACACAACCAGTATGATACTATGACTTGCTCAGATACAGAAGTTTCAGACCAGCTGCTGATTATGCTTGCCCTTTTCTCATGTTATAGGCGTGGCATCTTCAAAGCCATATATACACAGCTCTACTAATGCAGGCATTTGTGCATGTAGCTGTACATTCATTCTTATCTATGCACTTGCCACATGACTGAACATGTCTGTTTTTATTCATTTGAGCAGAGGTAGACTTAAACGTACGTATGTACACAGTGAGGCAGCTGCGCACATGGTCAGCACCCACAGTCATGTGTGTGGCCCTGGAGTTGGATACTGTACAGCAGTCATCTCCTTTCTCCATGGTCAGTTGCTAACTCTTTAGACTCAGTGCTGAAGTACATGGAGAGGCTGCAGAGTAAAGGGTTGGGGCCAATAGTAAAAACTTAGTGATTAAACTAGAAATGGACTGATGTACAAGCCTATTTAAGCTGGTTTAAAGCTTGGAATGATTCAAAATTGAACTTAGAAAATCAGATAGCATTTTGAACTGATTCTGCTGTGACCTGGGGCAGTGTTTTATGTGGATACGTACTGTTTTGCAACTTGGGTCTGCTCAGTTTTCCAGAAATCCCACATTGCTGTAACTAGTTGCTCTGGTAGATGGCCAAAATTCTGCTGGGCCCTCTTTTACCCTTTTTGGCACTTTTTATTAATGAGCTCCATTGCACAACTTGTCCAAGAATACCTATCTTTCCGACAACTGTGTTCTCACTCTCTAGTTGGTTGTGGCCCTTCCTTATGCCCTCCCTCTGACCCTGTGAACCAAAAAATCAATCCAAGCACTCTCCCCCACTACCTGCTCTAGTTCTGAGCAGCTGAAGTCAGGCTGTAGCACACTGCAGAGTTTGGTCAAGTGTATGCTACTGAATTTTATTGAACTGTTAGCAAATTGCTTATCAAGAATCATGGGGTGGGGTGCTTCACCTCCCCCCACCCCCTCTTCGGGTCCGGCCATCCCTCCCCCCGCCATTCTGGATCCATCTGGACCACATCCACCTGGCTCCCTGCTCCCCTTCCTTCGTGCCATCTCCCCTTCCCTGCTGGCTGTTCTGGGGGGCATCTGGGCTGGGCGGCAGGGGGTGCTGCCATTGTGATCCCCCCTTTGCCCTCAGACAGGGAGGTGTGGGGAAACCCTGCTGCTCAGGTGTTCCCCATCAGCAAACTTCCCTGGCAGCGGCGCAAATTTGGGCCCGCGCAGCCTGGGCTGCCCAGCCAATCTCCGCTCGCCCTCTCAGCAGTGTATGCACAGTTTGCCAGAAGCATTACTGACAGACAGACATACTAAGCCTTTTATTATATTAGAATTTTTCAGTAGAGAAGGGAAAACAGAAAAGTTAAAATGCCCCCTCCAGGGACTAGGTTCTGAGATGCTTGATTCAGTGTGAGACTTTCATTTAAATCAAGGCCTGTTCATGTTTGTTTTAGTCATATGTCCAGGTATTCCCAATGATCCTCAACCAGACAACAACAGTGAGACGTTACGTTCTGCCAATAACTCAGACTTCGAGTTGTTCGAGATGTGGTGGGGCAAATCAAAAACCGTGCCATTTTATTTGATTGTTGTTCTTCTGCCTCTGCTGAATCTGAAGTCGCCTTCTTTCTTCGCCAAGTTTAATGTCCTAGGTAGGTAACAGACAATCCCGGAGACTGTATTTATCATGGATAAAATACACATAGAATATAGTGAGCTGGTACTACCATATGTACTTGAATCTAAGATATGTTCCCTCCCCCCCCATTTAACATGGGGTGGGGAGAGGAGCCCCTCATCCTGGATTTGAGTACATGGAAGGGAGACAGGGGGCAGGCAACTGGTGTGGTTCTGACTCAGACATGGCAGGGGGAGGCACCAGAGGGTGCAGGGATGGAGGGCCTAAGCACCCAGGCAGAGGTGAGAGAAGGGGCAAGTGGTGGAAGGGCAGGGGCCAGGAGGCAGGCATTGCAGAGAGGTACGGGGCAGGGACCACCTGCAGCGGTGCAGGCAATTGAATTTAAGGCAGTCCTCTAAAGACTAGATTCTGTTCATGGAAAATTCTAACAAATGTGTTTTCCATGTTTATAATCTAGTTATTGTGGGGGTCATCTTAAATTCATAGTAGTCTTGGATGCAGGTAAATACAGTTGTTATCCCAGCTGCTTGTCCCCAAGATCTCCTGTACTTTTTTTTGTTTTACCTTTAGTAAAAGATTAGAATCTGCTAGTGAGTTGGACATTTTCCCCCCTGCTGCTTCCTTGGGTAATACCTGAAAATAAGTTTAACTGTACTTGAGATAAATGGTAGAAGTGAGTAGATCCATGCTGTCCTTGTACCCTACATAAAAAGCTAAGAATAGAGCTATCTATGTTTTAAATGAGAAATTGACCATTCAGGAAAGACAGTCTTAAATTCTCTCCCTTGTGCTCATGCCTTAAAATTATTTATGTTGTAAAATATTTGTTTATACAAATTATATGGAATTATAAAACTTGACACTTGTTATAAAACATGGTATAGAGTAAGTTATGCATATACTTTTCATGGCTGCCTTGATTCTCTCTCTCTCTTTTTTTAAGCCCTAGAGAGAACCTATAAAACAAAGCAAGATTGAGGAAAGTTGGTAAAGTGGCTTCAAAGTTTTGATTCCGTAAAGTGAGCAAGCTGAAGCTATTCTTCTGCCTATACACCTATGGAAACCTTAGAACATTAGGAAAATGAAGTAATTCAGCTATTAAATTGATCTTAATGTTCAGAGCCCTTTCCATTTCATTCCTTAATCTCAGACTATTGTTCTTGATAGTTAGAGGACAAATAATTCCTTTAATTATTAATTAATAATTAATGTTGACTCCAAGATATTTCTAGACTGAGATCATGTCTTCCCTGACCCTTATTTTCTAAACCACCTAACATCAATCCTTCATTTTTTCATATTTATCTATTTCTTGGATATTCATCCCTGTACTGTTGAATTGGTCGCTATATTGTATCATTAATATCAATATGCAGTTTCTTTCAGTCTGCAACTGATTATTTTTGCCCTTTTTGATCAGTTTATTTTTTTTCTCTGTGCTGTTGAGGGCAGACTTTTGCACTCTCTCTGCTCCAGCCTTAGTGTGAGATTTAAGGCTTTGGTACACAGTCAGTTTTGCATATGCATAATTATGGGTATTGCAAAAGTCCTTGGAGCAGGATAATGGAATATGGATCCTGTTGCGTGTGGCTTGTTAGCTCAGGTGAAACTTAAGTCACTAGTAACCAAAGGTAGATCCTAGGGGTGTGCGAATCGGGCCCCATTCGATTCGGATTCAGCCCAAATCAGGGACAGTGATTTGATTAGTTGATTTGGATCACTGTGCCTGATTCAATTCAGCCAAATCTGAATCTGAAGATTCGATGCTGATTCGGACAATCAGCAATTTGGACATAGACACAGCTTTAAAAGTTATTTCTACGTACCTTGAGGTGGTAGGCACGGCTCATGAATGCTGTGATGCTGGGGCACGTGGAGAGTCCCACAGGAGCATGGGGGAACCCTCCACATGCTTGGCAGTGAACCTGGAAGTGTGTTGGACCCCCTCCCCCCACTTCTCTGGCTTGGCAATCAGCTGTGGGGGGGCTCCAAAAGCTGCTCTAATTAAAGTGCCCAGAGCATCATGTGTATTAGCATCCCAGCTCTGAAAAATGGTGGCCAGGGCACTTAATCTAAAGCTCATTCAATGAGTTTTAGTTAAAGTGCCCCTGCTGCCATTTTGTAGTGCAGGGACGCTGATACAAGTGACGCTGGTGCCTGCTGGAATGTGGTAATTACCATGCTCCAGCAGACTTGATTAACTGAGTCTGCTCCAACACTTCGTAATTTCAGCATGTCAGAGCAGCCTCGCTGCACTTGTATAGGTGGCTTCAGTTTCCAGGGTCATTAATTAGGCCCCTTCCAGGCCACTAAACTCACTTGCAGTTTAAATGAATAGATGGTGCTGTAGTAGCACTTTCTGAACTTTGTAAATAGAACTGTTGTTTAAAAATTGGGTCTGCCTTGCAGGTTTTAGAATGAACAGCAAGCCTGTTTCTCTGGGCTGGTGACAATTCATTGGGTAGATGTGATATAAAATGGGACATAAATCATTTCTATTGCATCATAGCCTAATGACGATTGTCTGTCTTGTTTCTTCTTTCTTGTATAGGTACAGTTTCAGTTGTCTACTTAATTTTTCTTGTCACCGTGAAAGCTGCACATCTGGGATTCCATATAGAATTCAGCTGGTTCACATCTAACAAATTCTTTGTGCCAGGTAAAAAAGTTTAAAAAAAAAAAGAGCGATTTTAATTTTGAACCTATATCTTGTGCTTTTAATCATTAAAGCACTTTATAAATCTTTGTTGGTTATCCTAACAATGCCCCTGTGAAGTATAGTTGGCAAGCAGATATGGACTGTTAATACAGCAGTTCCAAACTAGGGCTCGTGACCCTAATTGGGTCTGTGGTTCCTACAGGTAGGTTTGCGTGCCCTACAAATATTAGGTCATGCATGATCACAAGCTAGCCAGAAGTTGGCTCAGAAGGGGTCGAAGGCCAGAAAGATTGAGTATTACTGTACTTATGCCTCCAGAGACTCTGGACCAGGGATGGGCTGTTTGGCCCAGAGGGAAACCTAACCTTTGTTCCCCACTTCTCCCTGCACCCCCTCCCCTGGCCCAAATCCCTGGCACATGGCCAGATTGGGCCAGTGCACACTGTGATCCTGCCACCACCTCAGGCCATGTGAGTGCAGCTAGCACAGCTCCTGCCTGACCCAGCCGCATGCCAGGGACTTGTGGTAGGGGAGGGGGTGCAAGAAGATGGTCAGAACACAGAGTGGGACTGGCCCAGCCAGACCCAGATAACATGCAGCTCCTGGCCCCCTTCTCCCTGCAACCTCTCCCTGGCCCTAAGTCCCTGGCACGTGGCCAGCTTAGGCAGGAACTGTGCCTGCTGCGTCCATGTGGCACAAGGCAGCATGTGGGAATATAGCATGGCACTGGTCCAGCCACGTATCTGGCACTTGGGGTGGTGGGGTGGATGCAGGGCAAAGGGGACCGGGAGCTGTGGGTTGTCCTGGACCGATCAGACTGGTGCCATGAAGTATTCCCAGCTTCTCCCTGTGCTTCCACCCCCGCTCTAAGTTCCCAGCATGTGGCCAGCCTGGGCTAGTGCTGCACTATGTTCCCATGCACTGCTTCAGGGTGGGAGCTGGGCGCACATGGGTGCAGCTGGCATGGCTTCTGCCTGAACTGGCTGCATGCTGAGGACTCGAGGTCAGGTAGGAGCTGTGCTGGGGTCAGGTAGGTGCAGTGCTGGGGTCAGGCAGGAGCCACAGCTGCACTCATATGGCACAGCCCAAAGTGGCACATGGGAACAACACAGTGTCCACATCCCGACCAGGCCCTGTACTGGCAGAGCCTAGATAACCTGTGGCTCCTGGGCCTTTCCCCTTGCACCCCCTCCCCCACCAGCGGTGAGAACTTTATCTGAACTTTGGCTGGCTGGGAGCCAGGCTCTATGGTCTGTGAAGGGCTGCAGTGTCAGAGCAATGTACAGTTAGCCTTGCTGTGCAGAAGCCTGACCATGAGCTTAGCTCCCCCTGCCTTGGCGTATACACAAGGGGTTGGGGGGGTGGGCTGGGCTGAGTGGTGGCTGCTGCAGCCAGCTACAGCTAGGGGAAAGGAGAAGAGCCATAGGTGCTAAAAGCCAAGGCAGCCATGGGCCAGATACAGT